GCCCTGGGGACTGGAGAGCCCCGTCCTCCCTAACTTCCCTCTGCCTCTCCCCCCACCCCCGAAGGCAACTGTGTCAGCCTCCACTCCAAACCACCCCCCCCCCGCACACTCCCCCCACACACACTCCGCCCCCCCCCCTCAACGACTGAGCCTCCATTTTCTCCACTTCCCAAACGTCTCCCCAGGCACAGATCAGTGGGATCAAACGATGGCAATGGACAGATGGATGGACGGAGCTGCAGAGCAGGGAGGAAAGTATACTCCGTGAAGCATCAAAGCAACTGGCCGGTCGTCTGGGGAAAACTACTTTGATCCCTCAAGCCACATACGTAACAACGTTCCAAATGAACTACAGAGCTACATGTTTTTAAATATCATAAACAACCAGAAAGTAACCCAAGACAACATTTTCAATACTTTGCAGTTGGGAAAGGCCAGAAACCGTAAGGGACAAGAGTGGAAAACCTGACCGCGGGACAGTTTTGAACATTTAAGGAGGTTAAGAAAAGCTCTGTAAGTGTGAATGACCAAAAAAAAAAAAAGAAAAAACCTCCACAAAACTGTGAAAAGCTATTTGCCACATATGACAGATAAAGGGTTAAACCCCTTAACCTCTCATAAATCAGTTTGTTCTTGCAAGTCAATGAGTTGCATTTCACACATCCGCTCCTGCCCCCACCCCTGAAACCAAGGTCATCTGTGATCTCCCGCAGCTAATGCGTGATCAGTGTTCCCTCCGCCTCTCATCCCACCTCAGGCCTGAAGCAGGTCTTGCCCTCGGCTTCCAGGACCTCACACCTGCCTGGTTTTCTTCGGCCTCCTGGTTGCTCTTTCTTACTCACCTTTCCTGTTCCTCCTCAGCTCCCAACTCCTAACTGGGGAGGCCCCAGGGACAAGCCTCTGGTGCTTCTCTTTTCTATGTATATTCACTCCCTTGATGCTCTCAACCAATCTCAAGGCTTAAACTACTACCTTTAGGCTGATAATCCTGAGCTTGTATCTCCAGCCCAGACCTCTCCCCCAGACTCCAGCCTCACACATCCAACTGTCCCTCCACACTTCTTGGATGTCTACTGGCATGTCACGCTTGGCATGTGCCCAGCCAGGGCCTGCTCACAGGTGTGCCACCTGGGCAGTCACACAAGGACCCTGAGTGTCGTTTAATGCTTTTGGTTTAATGCTCTACTGTTCCCACTTTGCAATTCTTAATGATTTTTTTAAACAAAGTGTGAAAAAAAAAAAAAAAAAAAAAAAAAAAACAAAGTGTGTCGGGTGGCCTGGGTGGCTCAGCGGTTTAGTGCTACCTTCGGTCCAGGGCCTGACCCTGGAGACCCCACATCAGGCTCCCTGCATGGAGCCTGCTTCTCCCTCTCCCTGTGTCTCTGCCTCTCTCTCTGTGTGTCTCTCATGAATAAATAAATAAAATCTTTTAAAAAATAAAAATAAACACAGTGTCACCCATTTTCACTTTGCTCCAGGCCCCACACATTAGGTCGGCAGGCCTGCCGCCCACAGATGAAGCCTTCTCCTTCCCTGCACCACCAACTCACTCCTCCTTATCCTCTGTCCAGTCTCCGTTGATGGCAGCGACTTGGGCCCAAACCCTTGGAGTCATTGTTACAGACTGAATGTTTGTGCCCCTCAAAATTCATAAGCTGAAGCCCTAACCTCTAATGTGGTACTTGGAGGTGGGGCCTTTGGGAGGTAAATAGGATTAGATGAGGTCATGAGTAGGGCCTCTTGATGGGATTAGTGTCCTTCAAAGAAGAGGAAGAGACTTCTGGGTTCTCTGCAGGGCAACTAAGGAAGAGGTCATGGGAGCCCACGGTGAGATGGTGGCTTGGTCTGCAAGCCAAGTGGGGGGTCGTCCCCAAGAGCTGAGTCTGTCAGCACCTTGATCTTAGACTTCCCAGTCTCCAGAAGTGTGAGGAATACACGTGTGTTGTTCAAGCCCCCAAGCCCATGGTGTTTGGTTATGGCCGCCCGAGATGACTAAGGCAGTAATCCTTGGCTCCCTCTCTGTCTCACACGCACACTCCGCCTCACCCAATCTGTCAGCAAGTCCCACTGGCTCTACCATGAGCACGCACCCAGAATCCATCCGCCTCCCCCACCTCCATCAAGCCCCCCCACTCCCGGCCCCCACTGTCTCTTCCCTAGATGGTTACAACAGCCTCTTGACTGATCTCCCTGTTTCCCTGGCCCCCTTCACAGCAGCCAGAGGGATCGGATTCAAATGAAATTCAGATCACATCATGTCATATTCAGAACTTTCCACGGCTCCCTGCTTCGTCCTGAGTAAAAGCCAAGTCTTCGGGGCTGCCGCCGCGGCTCAGTGTGATCTGCTCTGGATCCCCCTCTGGCCGTACCTCCCACCCTCTCTCACTCCCCATGTCCCAGCCGCTCCCATCCCTGCCCTGCTGTATTTTTTCCTCCTTTGAACTTAACACTCAATGCACACACCAAATTTCACTCATTTATCTGTTTTTCTCGGCCATCTCTCCTCCCCTAGAGCGTTAGTTCCAAGGAGCAGGTCTTTTTCTCAGTTTTGCTCACTGTTAGGTCCCCGACCAAACAGGTGCTTGACACATAGTAAGTGCTCAATAAACGCCTGCTGAATGCATGGACAGATGAGTAGCACAATGAGCTGAGGACATGACGTCAACAGTCAATTCGCAAACGAAGAAATGGAAGTGGCCAACAAACATACCCAGTCGTGCCCGACCTCATTCACAATCAAAGAAATGCAAAAGAAAAGCCATTTTCCCCTAACTCATCAGCAGAGATTTCCGTTACTGCTAATGCCCACGGCTGGCAAGGAGGAGGGGATGAAGCCTCGTGCACGTGGTAAGTGGGCACAACCTTGTTGAGGTTGCCCTGGCCGTACGGATCACACCTTGGAAGATGTGCACTCTCCGACCCAGGCGGCCCACTTTCAGAAACACTCCTGAAGGACCCACCACACATGCACACAGACGCACCAACTGGGAGGTTCCCTGGGGGAGATTTATGGATGGCCAAATGCTCTAACAGGCCACCAGCAGGGCTGACGAGGATGCATAGTTTATTTTTATTTTTTTATTTTTATTTTTTTTAGGATGCCTAATTTTTTTTTTTAATTTTTATTTATTTATGATAGTCACACACAGAGAGAGAGAGAGGCAGAGACACAGGCAGATAGAGAAGCAGGCTCCATGCACCGGGAGCCCGACGTGGGATTCGATCCCGGGTCTCCAGGATCGTGCCCTGGGCCAAAGGCAGGCGCCAAACCGCTGCGCCACCCAGGGATCCTAGGATGCCTAATTTAAAGGCCACCCAAGCCACGGGCAGGAGAGGACAGCTAAGAGCTCTGGAATGCTCTATACTACGTGTTGTCGGGTGAAAACTCAAGTGACAGAGCAGTGTAACCAGGATGAGCCCCTGTGTTTGCTTTTAAAATATTTTTATGGGATCCCTGGGTGGCTCGGTGGTTTAGCGCCTGCCTTTGACCCAGGGCACAATCCTGGAGACCCAGGATCGAGTCCCACGTGGGGCTCCCGGCATGGAGCCTGCTTCTCCCTCCTCCTGTGTCTCTGCCTCTCTCTCTCTCTCTCTGTCTATCATAAATAAATAAATAAATCTTAAAAAAATATATTTTTATAAGTGCATAGAAAAAGAGTCTGGAGGGAGATATACTGAACTAGTTAGTGCTTAGTCCTGGGGAGGAAAATATTAGGGGAAGGACTCAAAGTGCATGCTTCAAATACTTTGGATTGTTTGATAGATACATAGATACATAGACAGATGACATACAGAGAACATATTACCTAACTTATCAGAAAAATGATTCCATTTGCCATGAAAACACTTCCCTGGTCTCCCCAGTTTTGAAAGATGCAGAAATAGGGCATCCCAAGCCATCCATTGTCTGGCCCTGCCTCATTCCTGTTACCCCCCACCTCCACCCCCACACCCCAAGCACTCTGGGTTCCAACCTCATGAAACAATTTTCTATTCTTGGTTCTTTTCACGGCTCCAGGCCTGTCTCACAGTTCTGTTCACGGGCACAGAGGCTCAGCTGGCCACACCCCATGACCTTGCAGTCAGAGAGCCACATAGGGGGAGGACCCTGAGGGCACTGTCAACAGCCTCCAGAGGGAGCCCCCAGGTCTCTGCCCCAGGGTTGGCCTGTGGGACCTGGGGGAGTCAGATGTCCACTGATTGCGACCTGAGCAGGCTGGGCCACCAAGACAGTCATCACAGGCACTGGAGCCAGCTGGTCCAAGGGGGCCAAGGCGGGCCCAGCAGGGAGAACTTGCCAGAAGTAGAGAGGGGACCGGAGCTTCAGTCCCACTAGAGTTGTCAGATTTAGCAAAAATTGTATCCAATGCAGTATCAAGGATACACTTATGCTAAAAAAAAATTGTTACCTGTCTGAAGCTCTAATTTAACTGGACATCCTGTATTTTTTCCGGCAATCCCACAGTCCATCCCACCTGGGGGGCTGTTGGCCCTGAGCAGAAAGCCTCCACCCTTCGGGGTGCCCCGAAGCAACAGAGAAATCCCAAGTAGATCCAAAGTGAGCAGGGCTGGTCCTGGTGCCCAGGAGAGCACCTGTGCCCTGGGGGAGTCCTGCAGGGTCTGGGGCCTTCCGGAGTAAGAGCCGTCCCTCGTGGAAGTACACACGCAAGCCTAGCTCGGCGACTCCAGCAGAGAAAGGCCAGAGTGACAGCACCGGGAGCCCCACGGATGCAGAAGCTCCCAGAGCCACAGCACTTAGGGAAAGGATGAACAGAACACAGGGAGCGCGCATGTCAGGACAATCGGGCGTGGCAGGCTTGTATGTCCTGGGGCCTCTCGGTGCCCCCAGGCACCCCAGGAGGCCCTGCTGTGGTCGGAGCCTTCACAGCCACCTGTGTCCCACACCATCGCCGGCCGCCCATCTGCTCCTCACTGCCTGAGCCCTCACCCCCCCCCCCAGCAGAGGCAGGAGGCGGCGGGAGCCCCTGCTCTCCCCCTACCTGGGTCAGACGGCGCCGGGAGGCCAACAGATCTGCCTCTGGGGGCCCGGGGAGCAGCAGCCTCTCGGTCGCGGTCCCAGCATGCACTGCAGTGGAAGAGCAGGAGGGTTAGTGCAGGTGAGATGGGCCTCGGCTACTCTACCCGGGACGTCTGAGCCCTCCCCACGGGCCGCAAGAGCCCCAGCAAGGTCCAGAAGGTCCCCTGCACCATCAGCGCCCTTGGGCTGGCTGACCACTCCTCCCCGTAGGAGGCTCCCTGACCCCCCCTCTTCTTCGTCAGGGCACCCCTCCATCCATGGTCCTCCTCCTACACGTGGTCACAAGCTGCTGTGTCCTGTCCCCCATCCTCCCCGGCTGCCTGGCCGTGTGTATGCCCAGAGTGGAAGCCCGGCCACGCGGCCACGCTGCCGCTCTTCCGGGCCAGGCTCCTTCTCCTCCTCCAGGTTCAGCCGAGGCACCTCCTCGGAAAGCCTCCCCTGCCCTCCGTGTGCGTGAGGCCCTCCTTCCCCGTGTCGCACTACCCTGAATGACCTACCTGTCATCCGGATTTCCCTGTCTCAACAATCTCACCGAGAGCTTTTTTCCAGGCAGGTTAATTGAGCTATAATTTACCTAGAGTAAAATTTACCCTTTCTAGCACACAGTTCCATACGTTTTGACAGCTGCACACAGCCGTGGAACCACGACCATAGTCAAGACAGAGAACAATTCTATCAAAAGTCTCCCCGCGCCGTCCCTTTGTAGCCAACTTCCTGCACCCCAGCCGCTAACAACCACTCACCTATTTCCTGTCTCTGTAGGTTTGCATTTTCCAGAATGTCAGACGAAGGGAATCATCTCCATGTAGCCTTTTGAGTCTGGCTTTATTCACTTAGCATATAATGCATTTGCGATTTACCTTTGTTGTTTCTTTGTTCCTAGTTTCATTCTTTTTTTATTGCTGAGTAGTATTCAATTGTTCATCCGTTTACCAGTTCCAGGGCATTTGGGCTATTTCCAGCTCGTGGCGACTATGAATAAAGCCACTATAAATATTCACATACAGGTTTCTACATGAACATAAGTTGTTACTTCCCTTGGGTAAATACTTAGCGGCAGGATTGCTGGGTTCTATGGTAAACATATTTTTAACTTTATAAGAAACTGCCAAACGTGGTTTTTTTTTTTTTTTTGGCCAAACTGTTTTCTAATGTGGCTGTACCATTTTGCATTCCCACCAGCAACACAGGAGAGTTCCCGTTGTTCCGTATCCTTACCGAGACTTGATATTGCCAATTTTGTAGACGTCAATGCAAGAGACACATGGTGGTATCTCACTGGTTTTAATTTTTCACGTACCTGATTTACTGTTTTCGTACCATCTCTATTTGCAATGATCTATCATCTTAATTTAATTATTTACATCTTTTTTTTTCCATTTCCCCCATCATCCATGAGAGCAGAGACCTTGACGTCTACTCCCCCAACACCTAGCACCGCATCTGGTACTAGATGATGGTGGTGGTGGTGGTGATGACGGTGATGATGGTGGTGGTGATAGTGGTGATGACGGTGGTGGTGGTGATGGTGGTGGTGGTGGTGGTGGTTGTGGTGGTGATGGTGGTGGTGGTGGTGGTTGTGGTGGTGATGGTGGTGGTGGTGGTGGTGGTGGTGGTGATGGTGGTGGTGGTGGTGATGGTGGTGGTGATGGTGGTGGTGGTGGTGATAGTGGTGGTGGTGGTGCTGGTGGTGGTGGTGGTGCTGGTGGTGCTGGTGGTGGTGGTTGTGGTGGTGATGGTGGTGGTGGTGGTGGTGGTGATGGTGGTGGTGGTGACGGCAGCTGCAGTGTTGAGAGTTAATATTTATAGAGTACTTATCATGTGCCCAGCACTGTTCTGAGGACTTTACAAATACTAACTCATTTAAAGCTCATCCTTCCCCTAAGACAGATACATGCTATCAATACCCTCATGTTAAGAGAAGAAAGCTGAGGCAGAGGGAAGTACCTGGCCCTAGGTCACCTCGCTGATAAGGGACCAAGCCACGCTTCCATCCCAGCTGTTCTGGAATCAGACCCCACAGTAGTCATCAGTACATTCCATGACCCACATTTGCTGAAGGAATGAAAGCCTGGATGAAAGGCAGGATCTTCTAGCTCTCTCTCATGGCGAGGGTATGCTCCTGGGCTGGAGGCCATCATACCCAACAAGCCATAGACTGAGTGTCTGTGTCCCATCCACACCCCCAAATTCCTGTGTTGAAACTGAAGTCCAAGGTAATGGTATTTGGAGGTGAGGCTTTGGGGGAGGGGATTAGGTCATGAAGGTCTCATGAATCTCATGAATGAGATTAGCACCTTTACCAAAGAGACCCGTCCGTCCCTCGTGCCATAGGATGACACCATGAAAAGATGGCTGTCGATGAACTAGGAAGAGGGCCCTCACTAGACACCAAATCTGCCGGCGTCTTGATCTTGGACTTCCCAGCCTCCAGAACCGTGAGACAATAACCCTCTGCTGTTTATTGGCCACCCAGTCTGTGGGATTTTGTTAGAGCAGCCCAAATGGACTTAAGACATAGCTTCTGGATGTCTTCTCTCGGATTTTCTCTCGCCAAAGCTGAACTTGTCTTCACTCCCGTTCCTGCTTCTCCTCTTGAGAAACTCATTTTATGGGATGGTCTTGGTATTCAAAGCAGTCAATGGGGTAAGAGGGGAGAGGCTGAGTCAAACCTAGAGCCTGGTGAGTGGAGGCCTGGACCTGGGCCTGCCATGGGGCTTATTTCCATAGGGACTCTTCCCCAAAGCTTCTCTCATCAAGCCCTCCCAGACATTCTGGCTTCCCCAACCCCAGGTGGAGAGAATGACAGCAGGTCGTGGCCTTGGCGCTTCTGAAGCCCTGGCTCTGACAGTGGTCCTATAACACTCCTTGTAGAGAAGATTTTACTGGTCGCTGAACATCTGGGTGCATTTCCTCCATGCCCTCCTGTCCTAGCAGGATGTCCCCTCTCCTTGTCCCCCTTACAGTCAGTTGAGGCTGCATGAGAAGTTCTGGCCAATGGGTTGGGAACAAAAGTGATGTGTGTCATTGCCGGGCCGAGGCATTTAAGAGCAGAGTGTGATTCCATCTTTTTCTCTTCTTTGCCACGGTGACTGGAGGAGGCTCCGCGTTCCAGGTGGGGCGGCTACAGGATGGTGGAGTTCTGGCCAGCCTGGGTCCCTGCGTGACTGTACGGACCAGAGTCCGCCACCCTCCCCACTTCCCTCACTGGACATGGAATAAAAGGTCAGACTGTCCATAGAGGAAGAAAGAATAACAGAGCCTTTGCTGCCATAGGTCACCGGGAGTTCCCAGAGCACCGGTTCCAGCAGCACGGCCCTGCGCACCCCCCCCCCCATCCCGGCATCCCCACGGGCCACCTGGGGCACATGACCTTGCTGTATTTGCTTGGAGAACATGTTTGCATGACGTTCTGAGGGAGAGAACTAAGCTCCATTTGGAAGCCCCTAAATTACTAGCACTTCAGTGGGGGACACAAATGCATCAATCCCCAATTTCACGGGTTCCCCATCCACAAGTAAAAGGGGGAAGTTTCCGGCCCTGTAGTAGGATCCGCCAGAGGGACGATCCCCCCTGCAGAAGGGAGGCGCGAGCAGAGGCAAGCGGTAACACCTCCAGGACAGTGGGCGCCTCGGCCTACATTCAACGGCTTGGAGTTGAACTTCGAACAAAGGCTAAGGCGCCCTCAGAGCTTTAAAGACCCGCTCGGCCCGGGGCCCCTCCTTGTCTGCCCTGGATGACAGCTGGGGCAGGGAGGTTCCAGCAGGGCCCTTGAGCCACCATGACAGCGGCCACAAGCTTAATTCACGTTTGTATTTTGAACTTATGGGCACTTTACTTTGGCAATTATCCCCTTCAATGCTCTGCACTCCTGTGGGACAACCCAGGACCACAGGGAGAAGAGGGAGCCCCTGGAGGCACCAACCGGCTCTGGCAGCGACCTGCGGGGAAGGGCCTCGCGTCCATTAACGCCCCCGGGGTTCCTCGCTTTTTCCAAGAGCGAAGGTTCAGCTGTAGTGGATTATACTGCCTCCCTTGTACCCATGTTGGGGAGAACCTTAAAGGGTGCCGTGCAGCGTCCTTGAGGCCCGCAGGATGCGCAGGTGAGCTTGGGGAGGGTCGTCGTCGTCGTCGTCGTCGTGCTGACGTAGCTAGGTCGCCTCCAGCGCCCAAAGGCTCGCCTGGCCTTGGCCGTGGCCAGGTTGGCTGGGAGTCCTAGGGGCGCCCTGCAGGGGTGCGGGTGAGCTGGAGGTGGGGCTGGGCTGGAAGCCGGCAGAAATGGTGCAGGAGCCCCGGGACAGAGTCAGCCTCCCCGAAGCCGTCACAAGGACCCTGTCTCCTACCGGCCGGGGGTTCTGCTGTCCCGGGTGTAACCCCCCCCAGCCCCCCAGGCAGGCTCAGGCAGCTCTCTTGTCCTTTGGGTTAATAAGCAGGTATGCCTGATGCCGGGCAACTGAGAACAAAACCCTACAAGCGCTGGCAGCTCCATCCTTCACCACGAGCATTTATTTCCCCGGCGGCTCGTTCCGGCAACGAGAAATCTGCATTTCGGAATGATTTCGGTGGGAAACCTTTACCTGGGTGTAGACCTGAGGTTTGAACCAATGTGAACACCTTGCTCTCACCCTTCGCAGTCACACAATCTGCTCTGATCTGCTCATGGGAGGAAACCGTGCCGGGATTTGCGGGGCTTTCGGCTTTTGTTTCCTGTGGGTCAGGCTGCCGGCTGGGGCTCAGGGCTCCAGCGACGGCCGCAGCCGGGGCCAGAGCACACCCGTCTCTGCCCAGGGAGCAAGGGGTGTTCCAGACACCGGATCCGGATCCGCGGGGGGTGCACGGAGGCTGCCCCAGCCCTGGACGCCCTTTGTGACTGGCTGCGCTTCAATTCACGGTCTGCCGAGGCCTTGGGGGCTGACGCCCAGGACAGAGGTTCACACGCACAGGGTGAAAGAAGGCCCCGCGGGGACGGGGCGGAGGAAGAGCTGGCAGGGGGCGAAGTGACAGGCGGAGAGAAGACAGAGAGGAAGGAGGTGGGACGGAGCAGAGAC